GTCTGGCCTACCTGATATTGCTGTGCTTCTGTTGTGGCAAAAAAAAAAGACAGGGGAAGTATTCAATGCCAGCCAGAGGCCAGGATTGAAAGGCAGGAAACTGGGCAAGCATTTAATTTAAATTAAATTTTTAATTAAAGTGCTGTGTGCAAATGTGTAGTGCATACTGCTGAAAGCACACGAAATGCATTTCATCTCAGTGCAGAGAGTGCATTTCTCTGAACTGTACATATAGACTATTGTGCATCTCAGGCAATTCCTGACTGTTGGTGTATCTGGGGTTTGGTAGCTTGTACTGTAATCAAGCAAAGTGCATAAAGCAACTTAGATAAAATTCTATATTCTCACAATCTGTTCTGTTGACCCAACCTGGAGGGTACAGTGAAGAAGTGACTGTAACAGTCATGAACTGTATAGATGCACTCTGGAAATAGCCAAAGAGGTTCTAGGTGTGGACAAGGGGAATGCCACTGTTCCCCAGTTAGGTGCAGCTGTGTGTGAGAGGGCCTGTATATTGTCTGAAAACAACACATTGCTGGTTGCATGACTATCTCTCCCCATGAACCCACCAGTATGATTGCTCAAGGGAGAACAGCAGATATCACCACTTTCAACCCACCACCCAGGAACAAAAGAGGCAGGATATGTCACCCATAAGCTTTTATTGTATTCTGGGACCACTCATGCAGATACAGAGCACCACCAGTTCAGCAGTGACAGTCTGTAGTGTCAGATATTAGGGTTAAAAAGGACCCATGGATATATTACATGCCACAGCCTGCACAATGCATAATGAGTGGACATTGGCAGCACCATTGCAAGTATGCTCACAGATGGATGCTAGGACTGTTGAGCAATTAGGGGTAGGCTACATGTTTACCATGCTCAGCCTCAAGGAGGGACACTTTCATCACAGCATTGGGCCAGGCCAGGTAGAAGCCTGGGGAGGAGAGAAGACATTTGTCTACATTATTGCCTGGAGTTCCCCATACTGAACAGTTATGTACTTCCGTCATCAAAATGCTTCAAAACTCACCACCTCTGTCTTTTCCTGCCCTACAGTACAAGGTGCCTTTGAACTTCTTTGCTCCTGCCCTTCCTCCAGCTTTTGCTAACGTGATTCTTTTTTCATCACACACGCACAAACACACAAACTTGCAGCGACGTCTCCTGGTTGGCAGTGCTGTGTAGAAAGAAGGGGCAGTAGCCCTGCCCTGAGAGGCTCACCCTACAGAGGAGAAACATGCTACTGCTGAAGGAGACTGTTGCTGAATGTGCAGCAGCTGTGGGATAAAGTCAGCAGATCTAGGACCTATGCGCCACTACCAGTAAAGCCATGCAGTTGGTCAACAAGCACTCATGGGGCACAGCAGCAACCTGCTACCAGCGTTGAGTGCCCCAGCTGCACCAGGCTGTAGCATTTCTACTGTTTCTACTGTTGCCATTTAAACTATGCTGTTGCCTGTCATGGCTTGGGAACAGAAGCAACAGGGCACACAAGAAAGCACAGGCTGGCATATTTATGGCCCATACAACGTCTGGCTGACCGTAGTTTCTTCCCCGAATGCAGACATAACATGAGCTGTGTGCCAAAGCTCACTGAGAGACACTCGCCTACCACTTTGTGAGCTGCACTGTCTCCTTGTTGTCCCAGCAGCACAAACTATCTTTGGTAAATGCCCCTTTGATAGGGGGGCAATGATGTCATTAGTGATTGGTAATGCAGAAGTGACCTGCCCACCATACTGAATGGTGCACCCACCCCTTCCCTATGCTTGGTATGAGGCCTCATCCGGCACCTGGTCACTATGCAGACTGCCTGGCTCCTGATGGGTGTGGCACTCCTCAGGACCATCAGTGACTGCTCCCTCATGTTGTGAAGTCTATAAGAATGCTTTCTGCTGAGTGGCAGAGGAGAGTTGGAAGAGGAACCTGAAGTAGCAGATCAGGCAGCACTGCAACCATGCTCACAGGGGAACTGCTACAGATGCAGTGGGGAGAACAGGCAGCCTCTAGGTGCATTGCACAAACACCTCCAGGCTGTATGTTTATGAAGATTCTGTCATCCAGGTGGAATTGTCTGGAAGTTGAGTGAACGGCCGCAGACCATTCTTTTTTTTTTTTTTTTTTTT